GAGAGCTGTAAACACCCCCAACAAGGATCCTATTTCGGGTTATGATGCTTATCTCCCTATAAACCAGCTACTTACTAAGTCCCCCGACCCTCCAAGCAGTACGCCCCAAGCCCTTTGTAGGCCGTTTTTTGTTGACGGCTTGTGGAGCAGTTTTCTGATCCTTCTGCTTGCAGATGCCGAAGGATTTCTTGTCGCTGACCGACTCGGAAATCCGCAGCTGTCACGAGGGCATTCGACTGAAAGGACCTTTAAGGGTTTTGTTTGTGGCGATGCGTCGATTGTAACTATTTTTTAGTGGGTCTTATGTTGGCTGTCGCATGTTTTGTCGGGTTTTCTGAGGTTTAATGAGCATTGTCCAGGGTTTTGCACGAGTGCTTTAGGGGTTTCGAAGGGATACTTATGGGATTTTGTCTTAGCACCAGTGATTTGCAGGGCAAGCTTCCTCGTAAGCAACCGAGAAAGTCTCATTCAAGGCATCCCGTAGGGGTTCGGGCTTGAAAGGAATTTGGGATTGTAGGGCCTAATTAGGGTGTATTGGATTTCTACCATGGGGCCTATGAGCGCCGCTATCAGCAGACAGGTACCAGACCTTATCTGTGAAAGTCCTCCTGTGTATGGTTTTCTAAATTAGGGTCCCTTTAAGGGTCCTTTTCATAAGGGTGACGTACTATGTTGGGAGCCGAAAATGGGACCCTAATATAGAGAACTACCCATGTGTATGTGGTCGTTTGAGATGGTAAGTGATCACCTCCTTGGCTGGGGTTCAGGGTTCAGGGTTGCGGCCCCGCTGCCGCGCCAGACCTTTGAAGAATCTCCAAACTGCAGCACTTGAAAACAGGAAAACCTTCATCTAAACCATCTAAACCATGGAAGAATATATTTTGGTGGGCCTTTTTGGGGTCCAGTGGAATTTGCTGTTACCTCTATTTTCACTCTACTATACATGCATGAAGGGTTCCATGTGACTGTTTCCTCTGACCGATGGACCGGAGCACCCCGTTTGATCATGGGTTTAGGTGTGTGGGGGGGGGGGGGGGTCTTGTTTGTAGTGCAATCCAAGGACACCCAACCCCCCGAAACCCTAAACCCTAAACTCCACAGCTCACAATACCCAGCGTTGTAAACCCGAAGCCAGAGATGTGAAGCTCTGCCCAAGCGGTGAAACATGTTCAAAGTATGAAAGAAAGGAGTCGGAAGACTGACTCACCGTTGTTCCGCAGGGTTCTTGGCTACAGGTCTACTGCAATAATCTACAGCATAACAATATGGGTTATTCTCTAAATTAGGGTTCCTTTTAGGGTCCGTTTAACAAGGGTGCCGTACTGTATTGTGGACCTAGAAGGGGACCTTACTTTAGTGAACTACCCATATATTGTTTCTCAGCGCTTCGTCTTATACGTGTCGACGATGGCAGGGCCTTGTTTGTTCAACCCTGAACCTTAGCCTAAACCCAAAACCCCAAACCTTGAACCCTAAACCCAGAACCCTAAACCCTAAGCCTTGAACCCTAAACCCTAAACCCCTAAACCCTAAACCTTGAACCCTAAACCCAAAACCATAACCCTAAACCCTAAACCGTGGACCCTAAACCCTAAACCCCTCAACCTTGGGAGGAAAGCTGAAGTTCCTGGACACTGAGGAGTCCCTCGGCACTCAGAGAGCCCAAAACTCCTCAATTAAGGCATATACTACCTTAAGTTAGAGGGTTCCTTAAAGGGATCTATAAGGGTCTGTAGAAGGGTTCTATAAGGGAATTCAGGATATATGCCTTAAATTATAGGGGCCTTAATACGATGATTTACGGTATGTTCCTTAGTCACGGGGTACTGGGTTCTCTGGGCACTTAGAGGGCCGAGGGCCCTTCAGAGGGCCAGAGGACGAAGTAGGGTTTAGGGCTTAGGGCTTTGGGTTTAGGGCTTAGGGTTCAGGGTTTAGGGCCTAGGCTTCGCGTTTAGCGTTTAGGGTTTAGGGTATAAAGGTTTAGGGCTTAGGGTTGTTACAGGGTTCCTATAGGGCCACTATCTGGGTTTCTTCATCTGTTGGGGCTTTGTAAGCAGTAAGCAGCTCGTGCTTTGCAGTCTCTAGTGCAGTTATACTAGAATGTATGCAAAAGATTTCGTTCCGATGATTAATGCCCCTCTCTGAGTTGAGGGTTTCGGGATTAGGCAGATGCTTTTAGGATCATTGGGCCCCAGAGATTAGCCGGACCGTGCATGTCGGCAGAGTTGCCAAGGGGGTGGTTCCCTAAATTTGGGTCCCTTTTAATTGTTGTTTTGGGGGCCTCAAAAGGGACCCTAGTTTGGAGAACTACCCAAGTAGCGGACTGGGTAGCAGAGACCCTAAACCCTCAACCCTTAACCCTCAACCTCTTAGTAGCTGAACTACACTTGAAACTTTTGGGATAACATGATCCCTTATAGAACTGAAAGTGTACACTTCTTTATGCTTATGAACTCAGCACCATAGACAGGGTTGAGGAGTTGACGGCCTCAGCCCCCACCCTGACTCACACACCCAGAGACTCCCAAACACCTTAGTTAAGGAATATACTTTAAATCATATCAGGGTTCCTATGACATTTTAAGGTATCGTGGTTTTGGAGTCTCTACAGGAACCCTACTGTTGTTTCAGGTATATTCCTTCATTCAGGGCTTTTGGAGTCTCTGGGCATTGCAGGAGCACGTAGTCCACAGGTACAGAACAGATCCCAAAGGCCCCGGCCGACTCCGAAGCAATCTCGAACCATGCACTCTAGGGTTTAGGTTTTGGTTTTTGGGTTTAGGGTTTAGGGTTTGGGGTTTAGGGTTTTGGGTTTAGGGTTTAGGGTTTAGGCCATGCAGCCACGACGAGGCTTTTGGCTAAGTTCAAAAAGTCGGGTGGCCAGATCGTCTTCTTCTCCTACGCGCCCGGGCCGTCTTTTTAGCAATGTCAGACTTGGAGGTAGGGGCCTACCCAGAGAACCCAATATCCTTTAATTAAGGAGTATACCTTAAATCATAGTAGTAAGGCCCCTATAATTTAAGGTATATTCCGTAATTAAGTGGTATTGTGTTCTCTGGGCCTACTACTGCTAGCTACAACAACATGTTGCGGTAACTTGTTGGAAACTGGAGGTATTTGTGTAGATTGACGTGGGGGGAACCCTAAACCCCTAAACCCTACACCCCCAGACCAGGGAATGCTCCAGGAATTCGGAGGCTAGGGCTTTTTTCGTTTCAGCCTAAACCCCGAACCCTAAACCCTAAACCGGGTTGAAGTTGAAGTATTTCCCAATTTTTGATCAAAGGCCGTCGTGGGCTTCGGGTTGTTTAGCATGATATGTGTGGGTTACGGGTTATGGGTTTAGGGTTTAGGGTTCAAGCGCCATGAGCTAAAAGAAAAGCATGTCTGTATGCGGCTTTTCGCAGGACCCCATACTCACCACGCCATTGCTCGGTCCGCAGTTACAACCCTAAACCCTAAAAACTAAACCCTAAACCGGCTAGGTCCGCAGTTACAACTGTCTCAGAGCTGCCACCTGAATACCGTGGCAAGCTGACCCGGCTCCGACGGTGCGGCGCTCTTAGAAAAAGGGCCCCGGAAAGGGTCCCGAACTACCCATATTACAGACTTTGATTCGGGTCGTAATCATGTCAACCCAGAAACCCAATATCTCATAGTTAAGGAATATACTTCAAATCATAGTATTTAAGGCCCCTATAATTTAAGGTATATTCCCCTCTCAATCTAAAGGCCGCAGAAAACGAGATCATTACAGAACGTGAACGCATTCCCGCATCAATCCCCGTTCATGGTCATACGTTCACAAAAAACATAGACATTCCACAGAACCACAAAATCCATGATTCCATAGAATCGCGTGTATTATATATATA